GAAAGTGTTAAATTCTAACGATTTCCTCGATTTATCTCGATGTGCTTACTCCGCAAATTACTTTAATACAGTAACCACAATTGTCAGCTAGAAAATCAAGATTACCTCAGTCATCCTTCATCAGAAAAAGGTAATAAAAAGGTACTGTTGTGAACAGGACATTACACTTGAAAGTACAGAAATTACGTTCAGGTACCAGTACAAACGCCGGACCCACAAACGTCGGAGGGTACAAACCTAAGACTTACAAACGTCGGACCAGGACAAACGTCGGACCAGTATTTGAACTTTAAGATTTAATAAAAAAAGTTATTTCCTTTTATCGACTGGTCTAATTAAAATCTACCCAAAGTAACTGAGTTCTTGCCACCAACTCAAATATTCTCATCCCTATATCTTTGCAGCCTGGTAATGGTATTAACATTTAATACTTTCAAACTTAAAACTGTATGATCTTATAGATTTCATAGGTTGAAATATTAAAGGTTATACGACGTCGGGTTGCAAAGATATAGGCATTTTGAAGCATCATACTTTGTGACAAGACAATTGAAGCCAAATCCTTTTTGGTCTTTTGTTTTATATAGTGCTACCTTCAAAGGAGGAGACTTTATTCAGTTGTCTTTGATTGTTATCACAATAAGTGAGTGATTTTTAATTTACTAGAAATTCAAGGCGCTTCGCGCCCTTCTTTCTAGGCTTTTAGGGCGCTTCGCGCCCATCTTCTATTTAAATTGTGAACATGTTCTTTCTGTTTACATTTCAAAACAAAGATGAAAAAAGTTTTGCGGATTTTTAAAAAAAAATTCGCGGATTTTCAAAAATTTAAATTTTTTTACAAAATTAAAAACCTCTAAAACACAAATTTTTAAAATTTCAATCATTCATAAACCTTCCCTGGGGTCCCTAGATGTCCCACAAAAAATTTGGACCCGATCGGTTCAGCCGTTTTGACGTTTATTGGATACAAACAGACAGACAGACAAACAGACAAACAGACAAGCCAAATTTATATATAGATTTCTTAAAGCAATGGTCTTTTCTTTCAAACTTAACCAAAGTCCGACGTTTTTCCTTATAAATGTACCCGTCCGACGTTTATTCTGGTCCGACGTTTGTACTGGTCCGACGTTTGTACTGGTCCGACGTTTGTTCTGATCCGACGTTTGTTCTGATCCGACGTTAGTACTGGTCCGACGTTTGTACCAGTCCAACATTTGTAAGACCGACGTTTGTACTGTCCGACCTTTGAAACGTCCGACGTTTATACTGGTATCAACGTTTACAGTTCAAAATTCACAGTTTTACTAAAACAAGAAGTCATAGCTGCTTTGCGCCCCATTTTCTTAAAACTTATTTTGAACTTTTTTTTAACAAAATTTAATTTTAGTTATAGTTTTTTTTCGACGGACCAACATTAAAAATCTGAAATTATTTTTCGAATTATTCTTAATCTTATGATAATATTTCAATTTAACACGTGTCTCATCTTTGTAACTTGATATTATATTTCAAATCCAATTTTGTTAATAAAAATGTTACTTTTACTATTCATTATTTATAAGTTTTAAAGGGACTGAAAGCGTAATTTCAAGTGACACTCCAGGGAAGGATGGCAATGCCCGATTCACAACGGTACCCTTGGAACCTTTATTTGATCAATAATGTGGTAGATATTGTCGGGATGTTTTAGGTTAAAACGTGTTAAATTACCATAATACCTATATGTTTTCTGCAGAAGAAATGCGCTAGTCAATTTAGTAGAGAAACCACAATTAAAAATAATCAGTTTTCAAAATTATAAATATGAATCTCTAATTCATACTTGATCATACAAAGCCTTTAAGGCTACTATTGTATATCGGGCATTACCGTCCTTGCATGAAGGGTCACTTGAAATTACACTTACAGTGCCTTTAACGTCTATTTCAATTTCTAAAATATATTCCCCTTTGGCTTTTTTTCTAACATGGTTTATGGCAATTAATAATATTAATTGCATATTAAATATTGCAATGTTTACCAATATGGGACATTATAACATTTTTCATACTAATCTTGAATTAGAAAAACGACGGGGGGCCTTAATTATAAACAATTATTATAGGAATAAACCTTACTTTCCCCTTCCCCCTCAAAAAAAATTTTCGGAGGGAAAATTTAGAATAAGAAATGTCGTCCCCATCGTTTAAAAAAATCCTCAAAAAATCAACAACAAAGAAATATCTATTTAAGGTACTGTACGCGTAATTTCTAATGATCCTTCATGCAAAGATACAACGGTAAACTTAAAAGCTTTATCTGATCAAGTATGAATGTCTATAATTTTGAAAGCTGATTATTTGTACTGCACATTGTACTGCAGAAAATTAGAATTAAATACCTTTAGACCTAGAAAAACGTCTCAATCTTCCACATTATTGATCAGGCAAAAAATACCTTGGGTACCGTAGTGAATCGGGCATTGCCATCTTAATTTAAGGTTAACTTGAAATTACGCTTACAGTCCCTTTAAGCTTTATCAAAAAAATGTTGTGTCGGACAATTTATGAAGTTTAGGCTGGAACTGAAGTTCTTGCTAATTTATTGTACAATTTATGTGTCACATATCGATACACATAAATATACTTAAAACACACAATACTGCCAGGAATATAGAGGAATATAGAGGAATATAGAGGAATATAAAGGAATATAGAGGAATATAGAGGATTATAGAGGATTATAAAGGAATCTAGAGGAAAATAGAGGAATACAGAGGAATATAAAGGAATATAGAGGAATGTAGAGGAATATAGAGGAATATAGAGAAAAATAGAGGTATATAGAGAAATATAGAGGAATATAGAGGAATATAAAGGAATATAGAGGAATGTAGAGGAATGTAGAGGAATATAGAGGAATATAGAGAAAAATAGAGGAATATATAGAAATATAGAGGAATATAGAGGAATATAAAGTAATGAAGAGGAAAAAGAAAAAACGCAGAATATGAAAAATAATGATAAAACACGGAATAAAAAACGATATACAGAGAAAATAAAGAAATAAGTGAAATAAAGATGCATACAATCAAAATATACAGAAAAAATGGCAGAAAAAATGGAAAACGCAGAGCATAGAGAATTACAGACGGAATAATGAGGAATATAATCAAAATGAACAGAAACATTATAGCGGCATAAAGTCGAAATATAAAGAAACAAAGGCGGAATTATAGAGAACAACAGGCGGAATATTGAGAATTAGAAGTGCATAAAGAGGAATATTGGCGAAATACAGAGCACAGCAGGCGGAATATTGAGAATTAGAAGTGCATAAAGAGGAATATTGGCGAAATACAGAGCACAGCAGGCGGAATATAGAGAATTAGAAGCACAATACAGAGGAATATTGGCGAAATATTTAGAACAGCTGGCGGAATAAAGAAGACGATAGGCGGAATATTGAGAATTATAAATGGAATGATGAGGAATAAAGGCGAAGTACAGAGCACAGCTGGAGAAATATAGAAGACAACAGGCGAAATATGGAGCATACAAGGCGGAATACTGTGGAATACAGGCTAAAAAATAATAAAGGCGTATTGAATAGTAAAATGCGTAATAAAGCGGAATATATAAAAACTAAAACTTTGCATTAATCTCTTAAACGTTTATTTCGATACTTTGCTTTTAGTCTTTAACTTAAACTACTATTACCGTTTTTTAATAGCACATCATTGACAGCGACGGCGATTTGTGTAATAAAAATTACAATTTTACAATTTCGTTTGAAACAAAACTTCGACTAAAGCTAAAAATTTCTTACCTTTACAATTCACAACTATTTTCACTAAAAAATTGTTGTCCCACAATCACAAAAACAGTTTTTTCTTCAAAACTTTTTAGTCACTTTTTTAACACTTTAAGGTGAAGGTTTCGGGGTATCAGCTATACTATGGGTTTAAGGACAGAGGGGCCTAAAATTATTAGAAATATTAGATAAATCTTCTCGAACAATATCGCAGATAAAACTTTCATATGGAAATTTTTTTTCTCAATTCTAAGAATAAGATGAAGGAGGCAAAAATATGATTCATGATTTTGAAAGTTAGGCAGTAGGCAGTGAGGGTATCATTGCTTAAAATTGCAAGATTTGAACCCTTGTGCTGTGGGTTTGTGTATTACAATCGAAAACAATAAAATGTCACACAAGTAAGCAACAACGAAATAATGGTGAGCATTTTCACTACTCTACGAGTGTACAGTGTATAACTATAAGTTTAAACCATCTCAGAGTACGGAGGCCGAATATCGATCCAACCCGCCCCGCTTGTTCAACCAAACTAGATGTTTTTGCGCGACCCAACCCGCCTCTCTCGGCTCATTTGTAGACGGGGCGAAAATGGCCACTTTTAAATTTAAACAAAATAAATTTTTAAACACTGCAACACATCAAATTAAAGATTTGTAAAAAGTTTGATACAAAATTTTTAAAAAATTGATATTCAACACTCTTTAATAAATTGTCCCGATTCGCCCGTAGTCATTATTTTCGTCGATTTGCGCATGCGTCAGGCACCGGCTATTTTCTTAGAAGGGCTGATTACACTCTACTGAAAATAATGGTCAAACTGTAAAATCAGGATTTGTTTATTCATTTTCAATCAGCATATTTTTATACGAACAGTCATATTTTTAATTTTTTTTTATGATATTTATAAAAATGTCCCTGTTGTCTGTCTGAGATGTGTTATGTTCAAGATTTGGGTTTTATGTTTATACTTATAAAGCAATATCCCAAAATTTGTGTAGGCAGCTTGGCACATGCAGATAAAATTAATAAACATATGACAATGAAATTGCTTAAAATATCTTATTTGATTTCATTTTTTTGTAAAAGTTGATTGAGAAAAATTGTTTTGTCCGAAAAAAAGTGTATTAACAGAATTTAGAGGATAGCTGTCTGGTTTGTAATTATATAACTTAATTTTGTCAGAAATAATTTCTTCTAATAAAACAACATAACAAGCACGTGTGGGAGGGGGGGCAAGTGCCCCCTCACACTCTTTTCACAGAAAGGGAGGGGCGGGGTAGGCACAATTTTCTGAGACAAAAAAAAGTGAAAAAAGACTAGAATACAAAAAAAATTAAGAAAGAATAAAAATGGGGAAAGGCAAAAGTTTTTGTATTACGTTGAATTATCATGTTTTCAAGGTAATGTTTTCTTCTACTTTATACATTTGAGTGCTTTCTATTAGAAATTATTTAGCTATGGTAGATATTTGTTTATGTGAAAGTATAGGGTTTTAGATAATTTCTTTAAGTTTCAGTAACTTACTCTTATCCTTTTCCCTTCTTTATAAATACAAAAACGATTTTTTTTTATCAATTATCTTAGTGCAAAAATGAACGCTATGGACAGTGTTTCTTAATTTATCCTCTCACAAATAAAATCTATAAATTAAAATTAAACGTAGATAATATAGCGAGGCTTAGAAGTTGTTTTATTTGTCCTCCAACGCAATTGCAGGGGAATTTTTATCAAATTTGATTTAGAAAGATTTTGAGAAATATTTAGATTTTCATGCTTTACCTTGATAGCTACCGTTTACTCTGATATAAAAATAATTTTCAGCTACTCACATAGATTCAGCCTGCTTATAAAAATTTTCATCAATTTTAATGACAGGGTCGAATTTAAAGTGTTGGAACGCCTTGGGCTTCGATTTTACCGCTCTAACTCACTTATGATTTTACGTAGCCCTTTACATGAACATAGAGCACTAGTGGTTTGCTTTGGGTTTTAAGAAGTCATCGGCAAAATGCTTTTTTGCTTAAGAGCTTGCGGCCTTTAAATCACAGTAAACAAGTAAATAAGTTAATAATACTGTAATTTTTGGTTTTAAACCTTAAACCTAAATTTAATCTCGTCATCATTGTTAATAGCGGAGTAGGGTTTCCACTTTCCAGCGAACGAAAACTTTTGCGAAAAAATAAGGAGTAATTACTTGATACATGAGAAGTAAACTCTTTATATGAGGAGTAACTAGTTACATGAGGAGTAAACTTGTTACATGAGGAGTAAGCTTGTTACATGAGAAGTAAACTTGTTACATAAGATGTAAACTAGTTCTATGAGGAGTAAACTTGCTATATGAGGAGTAAACTTGTTACATGAGAAGTAAACTTGTTACATGATGAATAAACTTTATATGTAAGGAGTAAACTTATTACATGAGGAGTAAGNAATCTCGTCATCATTGTTAATAGCGGAGTAGGGTTTCCACTTTCCAGCGAACGAAAACTTTTGCGAAAAAATAAGGAGTAATTACTTGATACATAACTAGTTACATGAGGAGTAAACTTGTTACATGAGGAGTATGCTTGTTACATGAGAAGTAAACTTGTTACATGAGGAGTTAACTTTTTACATGAGGGGTAAACTTGTTATATGAGAAGTAAACTTGTTACATGAGGAGTAAACTTGTTACGTGAGGGGTAAACTTTCTATATGAGTAGTAAACTTGTTACATGAGCAGTAAACTTGTTACAGGATGGGTAAACTTGTTATATGAGAAGTAAACTTGTTACATGAGGAGTAAACTTGTTATATGAGGAGTAAACTTGTTACATGAGGAGTAAACTTGTTATATGAGGAGTAAACTTGTTACATGAGAAGTAAACTTGTTACATGAGGGGTAAAATTTCTATATGAGTAGTAAACTTGTCACATGAGCAGTAAACTTGTTACATGAGGGGTAAACTTGTTACATGAGAAGTAAACTTGTTACATGAGAAGTAAACTTGTTACATGAGGAGTAAACTTGTTACATGAGAAGTAAACTTGTTATATGGGGAGTAAACTTGTTACATGAGGGGTAAACTTGTTATATGAGGGGTAAACTTGTTACATGAGGGGGAAACTTGTTATATGAGGGGTAAACTTGTTATGTGGGGAAAAGTAAGTTTTTAAAAAGCTGTATGATTTGACATCTTCTAAATGTTTTCTTGTTTTGTTTTACATTCATTTATATATTAAAATTGTTTGAATAGTTTATTTTATTTTCATTTGGGTTTTTCATACTTGGAATTAGTTTATTGTTTTAAACTTTATTTAAAGGGATTTTTTTGCAAAAAAAGAAAACTGTAACTAATGAACTTTTAACAGTTCTTGTCAAAGGAATCGTTTGCATACTTTGAAACAAGAAGGGGGGTTCTAATAATCAAGGAAATTAAATTGTGATTTTCAAATCGCCTTCAAACTTGGTTCAAACGCTGCATGATTGAAATGCATTACTTGTACCTGCCGGTCAAGTGTACACTTGTACCTGCCGGTCAAGTGAACACGCTGTGTTGTGGATCCGGCGTGTCTAATGCACAAAATGTTGTCTGTGTTCTTGTAAATACAGTTTTTGTAGTAATCCACACTAAACAGTAACACAGTTGTGTTTGAAAGTCTCAAAGAATCTTGAAAAATATGGTTGTTTGCAAGTTTTCGCAATCATATTTTAATATTGTAAATACTCTTATTTTCTTAATATTTTTATTATTATTCTTTAGGAAAGTCCAATTGCATAATTCTCAATTTAGGAAAGTCCATTTAAAAAATGGGAAATCTGATTCAAATTTAAATTCTTAAAGCAAAGATGAATGAGACATTCTTCTTTTATCTGCGATAAAAGATTATTTTCAATTGTGGTTTGTCTATATTAGTTACTTGCAGATTTATGCCGCATAGACAGTGAAGGAAAATTTTCAGAACTCCGTTTTCAAACACCGACTCATGTTGAAGAACGTAGCGTCCATAAAAATTCAGAAAGTTACAACATTCAACTCGGATAGTAAAATAATCAATTTAATTCCAAGCAAATCATTCAGATATTACAAGCAATAGTCATCGATTATTTTCGACGCATTCGTATATAATATTTCATAATATTTTTGATTTTGTTTAGTTTAAATAATATTTCGCTGGCGCTGGATTTTCGAATATTCCTGGAAAATTTGAAAATGCCGTCTTCGTCATCAAAATTCTCGAAACAGGAATAATTGTTGTCAAAAGTAACTATCAGATCATAAAAAAATAAAAAATAATATGAAATTTTATCTATATTCAAATGCGTCGAAAAATTATCGATGATTATTGGTTTTAATATCTGACTGATTTGTGTTTGGAATTAAATTGATTTTTTACAATCCGAGTTGAATGTTGCAGCTTTCTGAATTTGTATGGACGCTACGTTCTTCAGCATGAGTCGTTTATAACAATTTTCTCCTTATAGACTCAAAAGATAGAAGTAAGATTAGTAGCGATCAAAAGCGCTTATTTTTCGCCATAACCCTTTACCTCCTTTCATTCTTGCGAACACTCCCTTTAAGGTACCGTTGAAAATCGGACATCGCCATCTTTGCATGGAGGGTCACTTGAAATTACTTTTACAGTCAGAGGCGTATCTGAAAGATAGGAAATGAAACAAAGCGTAAAAGTGAAACTACGCTGAAAGATAGTCCAGATGAAACAAAGCGTAAAAATGAAACTACGCTGAAAGATAGGAGATGAAACAAAACGTAAAAATGAATCTACACTGAAAGATAGGAAATGAAACAAAGCGTAAAAATGAAACAACACTGAAAGATAGGAGATGAAACAAAACGTAAAAATGAAACTACGCTGAAAGATAGGAGATGTAACAAAACGGGAAAATAAAACTACACTGAAAGATAGGAGATGAAACAAAGCGTAAAAATGAAACTACACTGAAAGAAAGGAGATGAAACAAAACAGGAAAATGAAACTACACTGAAAGATAGGAGATGAAACAAAACGTAAAAATTAACTACGTTGAAAGAAAGGAGATGAAACTAAACGTAAAAATGAAAAAACGCTGAAATAAGATGAAACAAAACGTACAAACGAAAACGGACTGAGTAGTGAGTATCCAAACATATAAAAGAATTCCTTCGCTAAGAATTATCAAAGAAAAGGGAAAAATATTTTGAAGATGAATTGAATCTTGGAATACCGTAAGTCAACTTGTTGATTTCTCGTCCTTTGTCCTGCCCCTCCCCTTCATCAACCCTTCTTAAGGACACCCCTCCCCCTTTAAAGATCTTACACCCTTTCTCCTCTTCCTCTTCCTCTCCCCCAATAGCCTATGGTAGGGACCGAGCACTGTGGGTAGAATAGCCTATGGTAGGGACCGAGCACAGNAATCCGTCCTATACAATCCGTCCTACAATCCGTCCTATACAATCCGTCCTACAATTGGTCCCATATAATCCGTCCTACAATCCGTCCTGTATAATCCGTCCTACAATCCGTCCTATACAATCCGTC